TTAACTGCCCGTCTCCACAGGATAAAGTTTATATCTTGATACATATGTCAGAATATAATTTGCCAATGGAGACCGCTCGTTGCTCTTCGAGAGCAATATATATCAGTGCTTATAGGCCTGTATGCAGCTCTCAAGAAAAGCAAAAACTCCATATAAAATGACGTACAAGAAATGGCTAAGAAATTTTCTTGAGTCAAATTTCCTTAAGGCAGTACGCAGTTCTTAAGAAATTTACTACGCTTTCTACTACGGTTTTCTAAAGTTTTTTGTGAAAAAAGAGCACAAGGCAACCCAGGTTTGCAACAGAAATATATGCCCGTTCCATTATTTCTTGAGGAAAGAGTGAGGCAACAGGCTGTGAAGTATCAAAAATGTCAAAATTCCTTGGACACACACGCGAAATAATGGCAATTTTTTCTTGACCGTTTTCTTGAGAGCGGCATACAGGGCTTATATCTCGCAATCTATTGCCGGCAATTTGGTAGTTTGACAGCTACATTTTCATTTGCACGAAAACTTCGTGGCTGCAACATCATTATTATTTTAATATAAAAGCAAAAATTGAGCTGTTTCCTGGTAAAATATTTGTAATTATGTATTTGGTTGTAAAATAGCCAATTTTTTAAATTTTTTAAGCGATTAAATCCGGCAAAAATACGTTTTCGAAGCTATCATACAAATGCTTATATCAAGATATAAAAAAGCCCACACAAATATTGCCGCTGATATAACTTATATCTAGCGACCAAAATGACAGCTGGGCAGCAATAAATTTTATCATGTGGAAACGGCCAGTAAGAAAACGGTCAAGAAAAAATTGCCATTATTTCCAAGGAATTTTGACATTTTTGATACGCCTGTTGCCTCACTCTTTCCTCAAGAAATAATGGAACGGGCATACATATGGGCATATATTTCTGTTGCAAACTTGGGTTGCCTTCTGCTCTTTTTTTACAAAAAAATTTAGAAAACCGTAGTAGAAAGCGTAGTAAATTCCTTAAGAACTGCGTACTGCCTTAAGGAAATTTGACTTAAGAAAATTTCTTAGCCATTTCTTGTACGTCATTTTATATGGAGTTTTCGCTTTTCTTGAGAGCTGCATACAGGCCTTAAGGCAGTACGCAGTTCTTAAGAAATTTACTACGCTTTCTACTACGGTTTTCTAAGTTTTTTGTGAAAAAAGAGCACAAGGCAACCCAGGTTTGCAACAGAAATATATGCCCGTTCCTTTATTTCTTGAGGAAAGAGTGAGGCAACAGGCTGTGAGGTATCAAAAATGTCAAAATTCCTTGGACACACACGCGAAATAATGGCAATTTCATAACATATCTTTTTTGTCTCATACATTCATACATACATCTGCTTTTGCTTAAGATTGTATTTTTTTCTTTTTTCTATCTAATTACATTCGTTCTAACTACATTTGTGTTATTCTGTTTTCCCCTATATTCATTTTTATCGATAACAAAATCGATAGTAGCATCCAATAAAATATCGATAACAAAACCGATAAAAATATCGATAACAAAATCGATGAAACATTTGAATAAAATTTCGATGGCAAAATCAATAATAGGCGTGTTTTATATTAACTTGTGATGGTTAAATAAAACATGTCTAATAATATTGGTAGCAAAATCTATTAGAAACTCGATAAAAATATCCATAAAAATCGAAACATCGATAACAAAATCGCTAAATATCGATAACAAAAACGATAAAATCAATAACAGAATCGAAAAATACCCATTACAAATTCGATAAATATTGATAACAAAATCGATTAATATCGATAACAAAATCGATAAATATCGATAACAACATCGATAAATATCGATTACAAAATCGACAAATATCAATAGCAAAATCGATAGATATCAATAACAAAATCGATAAATGTCGATAACGAAATCGATAAATATCGACAACAAAATCGATAAATATCAAAAACAGAATCGATAAAATATCGATAAATATCGAGAACCAAATCTATAAAAATATCGATAACAAACAA